AGGATCCTGAAAGGCAATCTTTACAACAATGGAAAACATGGCACCTTAAAATACACGCAAACCGCACACATGCAACTAATGAGTCCTGAGAGGCAGAAAACACACAGTTTGGAAGGGGAATGCGTCTAATTTGGTTCCAGGCGAGTCTTTATCCCAGCGAGGTTCTAACAACCGCAGCAAGCGTGCCACCGAGGGCTGATTGGGCGGGAGTAGTGTAAACACCAATCACAGAGTGAGTAAACCGGGCCGACGGGCCGTAAGGAGACCACTCATCACTCACTCAGGGGTTCGACGCCGTCCTGTGAAAACCAAGTTTCTCCAAAACTTAGGAAAAAATCTTGTTTGTATCAAGGAACTTCTGAAGACAATCAAAAAGGTTTTTAGCCAAAAAGAAAAAGCAGGAAAACAAAGAATTGGAATTCCCAAAATGATTCTTTCAAAGAGTCCAGATTATTTGATTTATAAATGATGATTTGCTGATGTGAACCATGTTCCTCCAAAATGTCAGCTTTTCATGAACGAAGGAAAAAGCAGTCTTGTTTTAAGCTGTGCAACAATGCCTTCTTGAGGTAATGTTGTTTTCCTCCTAAGAAGCGGGGGATTTGGTGTTTTCATAACAATATTTTTGGCACCGAACCGTGACAGCCATGTTTCTCCAATATGTCAAGATTTTTATGACTTCATGATAAACACCTTGTTTTAAGCTCTGAGACGACGCGGTTCCGAGGTAATCTGATGGGGTTTTATTAGCGAAACAAATTGACATTTGCATAACTGTCCTCGCTGTCCTGTTCAAAACCATGTCTCACCAAAATGTCAACTGTTCAAGACATAACACTTTAAGCTTTGAGACAGTGCAGTCTTAAGATAATCTTACGGTTATTTTTTTGTTTTATTTTCCTAAAAGCAAAAGTAAAGGCATTTTCAACTTTCTGACATAATCCAATGAGTTTTTAAACAGTCTAAGCAAGAAAGTCTTGGGATTCATTGTTGCTATCCTGATATGGAGACATTTTGTTTTAGAGTTTTATGAGCCTCAGATGAATAATCCCAAGCAAGACAAAGTTATGCTTTTTTTGAAGCATTGTCGGTGTTGTATGTAAAAAATAAATAAAAAGGCATATTCGAGTTAGAGGTCTAATAAGGCAGGAAATTGTGCATCTAAACACACTACAACATTCCCTACCCACACATCACACACACTGGATGACGCAAGGATTGCATAACATGCCCACAAACTATAGTAAGCAGTGGTATGAGAGTAAACTGCTGGCAGGCTGCACAACAGCCGCTCCAGGCCAGTAAACGTATCAACACAGCGAGTTAAAAGTGCAGCACTTTGTGGGGAAACAGGCGTGTTAAATCCTGTGTGTGTGTGTGTGTGTGTGTGTGTGTGTGTGTGTCTCCGGCATGGGAGCTTCTGAACCCGGATGGGGGGGAAACACCAAAGGGTAGCGGAGAGAGAGCTGTAAGAAGATAATAGGATGATGAGTCCTCCTGAGGAGGAATTTGGATATGGATTATGAAGGATATAGATGCAGGAAGTCGGTCTCACGGATGCGATCTGCACTTCAAAAACAATAGAGTGGAAACCTCACCTCCCAACACTCTTTCCACCCTCTCTGTCTCCTCATCCCCATGTCCCCATGTCCCCTCCCGTGTAGTAATAATTCCTCCCGTTCTCCCCGTGTGTCTTGCTGTGACAGCTGCAGGTGGGAGAACTCGCCCGGGGGAGAGAGAGCGACATTGAGGGGGTTTTGTTCGCGGCTTTCCTGTGAAGCGCCTCAGTGGGAGAACACAATGGGGTTCGTGTTGGACAGAACAGATTACTGAGAGCAGCCTGTAAGCACTTCCCCACATCACGTTCGTTGTTCATGCATATTTAATGTGTGCATCGTCCAAGATATTTGGTTTATTTTTCTTCTTGGTCAGTTAACCTGTTATATATAGTAACAGCAAACATATCAGATTCATGTACGTTTGTGGTGTTTCTTATTTTAGCACTACCTGCAATAAGCTAAGAATACGCTATATAAACCAAAACCAGATTACAGTTCCACCCCCTACACAAAATGAAGGTTTTAGTCATTGAAACCCACAGACGACACACATTGCCTGCACTACCACATGAGTCCCAACGGACTTCAAAACTGTCACTCAAACTTGCATTCCTGAAAGTTCCTGACCAGAAAAAGTAGAAAGACACAGAAGAAGTTCTGCATGAGCTGCTGGTTTGTAAACATTGCAGAGCAAACTGGGACGCACAGACCTTTTCTATTAGGAAACCTTGGTGCTTCCTACTATGCTGCTAAAGAAAACGGTTAGTTGTAGGTACTAGACACACACACACGCTGCCTGAGAGGACAGGTTCCGGGAAGACAAAGCTGTCGAAATAAATAAGATCGGATGTGGATATTGCAGCCTACTGACTTTATTGATCCCCTGACTTTCCCCGTAGCGCCACCAAAAGGTTGAAAGTTTGGATTTTAGATGAAACGTGTCAACCACATTCAGATGGATTGGTTCAGATATCCAAGGATGAATCCAAATATACTTTGGGGATCCTCAGACACCAGCAGATACTTTGGTTATCTGGATATTTACTCGGCAAATGCTACCGCGCGAAAATGAAATGGTGAAGGAGGTTATTATTTAATACATCATCTGCTAAACACGTCGAGTTATCCTGCCGACGATGGCTCAAAACACCACAAGAACAGCCGATGGTGCGGCTCTAGACTTTTTCCTCTTACTTTGCAAACAGTGAAGTTGTTCAGATGATGCTAATTGGGTACCCTCCATCCCCATTGCTTCTACTAGTGGAGTTACTGCGACGCAGCACTATTATAAACAATCCACCAGAAACTCAGAAGTGAAATAGTTTTTTTTTTTACAAAGTCTTCTGGCCATCTTCGCTGTGCCTTATGATAACATGTTAGGAAAGAAAGATCAAACTGCTGTTGCAGTCACAGAGAAGAGACATAATATCCCTTCTGTTTTTGCTGGTGCGCTGGTCTTTTGATGCTGCAGCTGGCTGCCTTTCTGGCCCTCCGGCGTCCGTCCCCCTATTCCCCTGTCCACCTCCGCCCCTGCAGCATTAGAAAATAACCCTCACTGTGTTCTCAGTGATGACTCTCTGCAGCGGAAACCAGCACCCACCCACACACACACACACACACACACACACACACACACACCGACACCCCGTTGCAAACCGATGCCTCAATCCAAGTCGTTCAGAAGGGATTCCCTGTGAGACGGTGGGAGCGGGCCGACGGGAAGGAAGAGAGCGAGATGCAGAGGAGCCGGTGTGTGAGTGATCTTTTCCTCTGTGGTGGGACGGACTGGAAATTGCTCCACACCACTGCTGCCAGTAACACAGCCGGCTCAGCTGTTCAGAGCGGGCAGCATGTGGTGAAGAGAAATCGGAGCCAGGTTTATTGGTGTGGAAACAAATAAACACAGGGGAGCCTCGTACAGGTACAGGGGTTTTCTGTCACTCCGAGAGTGTGAGTGTGTGTGTGTGTGTGTGTGTGTGTGGCCTGAGGATGATCTACCATGTGGGAGGTGGGAGCCGAGTCACAGCCTCTGACCACAAAGGATGTGGAGAGAGGAGTCATCGTTCTCCTCCCTTTTCTCCCACTCTCTTCTTTTTCATTCTGTCTGTCTTCCTTCTTTCCTCTTTCTTCATTATGCTATTAGAGCATCAGCAAACAATTATCGTCATAAGTGAGTTATCAAGATTTTTTTTTTCAATCAACTGTTAATTGATTTGCTACTTGAGACGGTGATGCAATAATAGTTCAAGTACAACACTATACTGCTTGCGCTGTCATTTTGAGTCCAACAGCTCTTTTGTAGTTTCCAATTTTCTTCTGTTCTTATTTTCATTTTATATACTTCTAATTATTCGTCTTATATTCTTTTTTACCTTTTTCTGTGTGTCTGCACTTATTTCTGTCCTTGTGCAGCTGCAGCACCTGAATTTCCAGGGATGAATCATCTTAATCCTTAATCCTGACAAATACCCTTTCCACAGACTGAGAATAAAGTTGTTGGAAACTTAGCATCTCGAATAAAACTCCTTTATTCTTATAAATTGTATAAAAATTGTCGATTATTGGATATATAATTAATATGTCTCATGTTGATTTACTCAATTAGTTCTCGATTCTTATACCAGATGGCAGAGAGCGGGCTGACCTGGCTCTTCCTGTTTGACCCAGAGAATCAAAGAGCAGAAACAAACTAACTAATATAAACTAATTTCAACTGAATGATGTCATCCAAATGTGGTTGGATTCAAGAAAGAAAGGACTACTATTGAAGAGCAGAGTCTCCTGTTGACATTACAAATGGCCTCTTGGCTCCGTATCCCACCCAAACCGCCGTACTGAAGGAGGATCAGTGCTGCCTGGAGACGGTGTGTCAGATCCCCGTAGTGGTGTGTGTGTGTGGGGGGGTGGGGGTGGGGGATCTCCTGGGATCTGAGACAAAAGGGACATTGTGGCACAGACTGACCCATCCCAGAAAACATTACTTCCTGTCCCATCAGCTCCAGCGTCCATGAGCGGCTCGCTTCCCAGAACTGAGAGTCCGTTTTTGACAGCGTCTGCTGTTAACCATTCGCAGCAGCAGTCAGAGCTGACATGTACACACTGCCACTCAAACACAGGGAACTACATTTGGGGAGAGACTGTGTTGAAGACGCTACTCGTATTTTTCAGCCCATTATTTCCAATTCTTGCACATGTGCTTCACGGCACAAAACAGAAAGCAGTTTTACTTCGGGGATCACAGAGCAATCTCGTTCACTACTCCTGTTCACCGTTATTAGCTCTGTTCCGTTGTCTGGCTCTTCAAAACAACTCCATGTCCAGTGCAGTGATTCCAGGAAATGGGAAGCAAGTGAACACTGTTTATCAGAAAAAGTGGCTGGAACACGGTGAGCTGCAGAGACTAAAGACCCATGAGAGTGCTGGAGGATGTGTTCACAGTACCTTGACATGGCTCTGAGCACCCAGGTTGTAGATCTCTGTAGGCTTCACCTGGTTGATGATTTTCACCAGGCACGTGCTGTCGGTCAGATCGCCATAATGCAGCTTCATGTCTAACAAAGAGGGGGACACACACACACACACACATGCGTCATTCAAACTTTTATCGGTCCTTCATATATTCAGTCATCGGGCAGGTCTGAAATAGCTCACAGCCATCTGATTCTGGTGTCTTATGACATGGCTCGAGTGGCCACAGCAAAAGGGAGACACACCAGCACCAATTGTTATAAAAAAAAAGATTCGCTCAATTTCAAATCAAGTTCAATTTACATTTTATCAAATCAAATTGCACCCAATTAATTAGGAGGGTGTGGATCTTGTAAGGCTCAAGGCAAAGCAATATGGTAAACTAAGGCAACATAACCATTTCCTGTAGAGGGTAGCAGAGAAAGTTATTGGACTGCAACCACAATTTAACCCAAGAAGGCGCAAAAGAGGAGAAGTCATGCCGTCATGTCATTTGAGGTACAACATAGATCACCGAGTCTAAATATAAAATTATATGAATTAATCTGCACAGCGTTGGGACTTGCTCCTCATAAATTAAATGTTCATACCAAAAACCGCAGTCTACTTTCTAGCTCAAAAAAGTAATGTAAGGCCGAGCGTGAGCGGACACCATCTCTTTATTTTTAGGGCCATCCGCTGTAACCCTCTAGCATTGCAGCTCCAGTTACACTGCACACGTGTCATACACCAAAGCTCTCACGGGAAGCAGGTCAGTACTAGATCAAACTCCAAGAGGACCCCAATTGGTAACGTCAGTGGTGTGTGATGTGCATGAGTGAAGGAGGTGGGTGTAAGGCAATAGGCAAAGCAGAACTAATGGTAAACTAAGGCAAAAAAAATAAAAAATTTAAAATCAAACCAGAACCTGGTGTGCCTGTGGAGAAGAGCAGAAAGAGGGGTCATCACATGACATCCTTAGATGTTGGCATACTGTCAATATGAAATCTGTTATCTAGTGATTTCGGTTTAGTACGCAACATCCTTTTGGACCAAACCCCTAAATGCCAAGTACTCGCTGTTACGGCTGTATGTGTTCCCTGTGCTGTCGTCTCTTGTCCCCCTCTTGTCCTCTGCCCAGGTGAGCTGCATTGCTTAACGAGGTGCACCTGGCCGGGTAACGAGGTGCTTCAAAGCTCCTGTGCCACTGAGGCCTCTGGTGTGGGTAATACTGGTTTTACTCAGCCTAGGATTTTTATGTCTTGTTTGTTTTTGTGTTAATAAATCCCATGGATTACATTTATTTTTGTAAAGAGAGTCTCAAAAGCATGTTAGGCAGGTTAGTCAAGCGCAGTGAACAACGTGTTGTATCAAACTGTATGCAGACAATGTTCGACTGAAGTCTGGTCAGTGGATACACTTCAAACTGTTTATGTACGACGGCATCGCTTGAATGCGTCGATTAGCGGAACAAGACAAAAACAGACTGGCTGGCTTACTAGAGAAACTAGCACTTGAACATACGTCAGCTTGTTCAGAACTACCTAAAGTGACAGAAACCATCTTTGAGAGAAATGTCTTTGACGTGTACTTGTTTATGTTTTAGTTTTTTAGTTTGGCGCATATCCCATCTGCTACAATGGAGGGGGCGCGGTGTACCAGGGGGCGATCGAGATGTTTCGGCTTCACTCCTGAAGAGCTGTCATGTCGTCCAATCTTTATACAGACTATGGTGTAAACAGGATACTCACTGCCTCCAGTGTGTGTCCGCGGGTTCTGGTAAAGATGCTCGATGCGACCCGTGTTGAAGGAGCTGGAGTGACGCAAAACACCATGAACCTGTGAGAAAAGGAGGCGGGGTTTAGAAATTAACACTACGACTGACAAATACCATGACTTTCATATCGTCTTTAAACAATAATGTTTTTGTTAGTATGTTGTTAATGCAAACTTTGTGCAGCTCCTTCACAATAAAAGCTCCCACTGAAGAAAATACTGCTGATCATAGCTTTTACTGTGAAGCACACATTTACACAGACTGACTAGAGATCAACAGAAAATTGCAAAATAAATATGATACAAATCCCAGAGCTATTCTACACATAAGATCATTGGAAACAGCCTGTCACTGTAGAATTGTTAGAGTCACTGGTGGAGATCCAGTTTACACCAGATGAATTCAGTTGTTCAAGATGAGTCTATTCAGCATATTCAGTCATGCTCACTGTATTGTATGCGTGTTTGTTTTTCTATGCACTTTATATATTTACTTTAGTTGATTGGTTTACCGCACAGTATTTTTCTTGAAATGTGACAAGATGTCAAACATGATAAAGTTGCCTACTTTGATCTACTGCGTTTCCTTGAAAGATCTTTGCAGTAGCGGCATATTTTGTATCGCAAAAGTTGACGTAACAACATTGTGTCTCATTGTGTTTTAAAAGCTGCCTGTGACGTGTGATCTGGACTTGGTGTTCTGAGCGGGATCTGTGCGGAAGCTCTGCTCGGGGAAGATAACGGAACCTGATCAGAGGGGAGTGCATTAGTGGGAGGACGCTGTGCCCCGACCTCACTTCCTTTATTCACTGTGCACTTCCTGCCTGCCTGTGTGCTCCTCTTTAATGACACAACCCCCCCCCCCCTCCGCGTGCAGTATCGAGCGCTCTTCCCCCTCCGCTGTCTCTGAGTCGGGCGGCGAAGCTGACTAGGCAGTCTGGGATGAAGGTGTGTGTGTGTGTTGGGGAGAAAGGAAGTCAAGCAGCTACCGTCAGGGAAACACAACGTGCACTGGTGCAACGCATATTTTTATGCACGCGTGTTGAACTGAATGCATCGTCACATTGTCGTGGGTGTCAAAACAGACGACGAAGCCTTACGTAGCAGCAACGGCTTGTTAAGCTCTGCATCCACTGACAGGATGTGGACTTTTTTCTCTTTTTTTTGCTCCTAAAAAAACAAACCACATTGCGCAGCAGGTGAGAGTTAGTGACCTCACTCGTATGACCATTTAATAACTATTTCCCCGTTAATGGTTTGACCCAGGGGTAAAAGGTGCATGTGTGTGTGTGTGGTGTGGGGGGGGTTTAACAGGCTTGAAGCAACACACAGGGTCCTATCAGGGTGAGGTTTCGAGTCGGTCCGGTGTACGAAGCCCTCGACACACACAGTGCTGTGGCTGGAGGAAGCTTATCGAGGGAATGTCGCTCTGCGTGCGTCTGTGTGTGTTTGTTGGCATTCGCGACTGTCTGCGTTGGTTTCTGAGAATCTGAGTTTAGTCCGCAGTCTGGATTTCTCCCTCACCTCGTAGCCTTTAGCGAGCAGGAACTCAGCCAGGTAGGAACCATCCTGAAAAAGACAGAAGACAACACCAGTTAAAACCCGTAAATGGCACACAAGTGTGTTAACAAGGTTTTCTTGTACTGACGGAATCGCAGCACTAAAAACCCAAACGTTCTCCGCCCACGTTTGGGAAAAACCGACTTCAAGATGTCACAAAGTGTAAATGCTTCACGCACTCCCGAGGACACAAACATTGTCTTTGTCTACGCCAACGAGAACTAAACCTGATGGCCCATAATGCAGAGCAACCAAAAACTGACAAACAGGCAGGACAGGAACATGTAATAACTGCTAATTGTAAAATTACATAACAGTTGAAGGACAGGGCTTCAAATAAAAATTAAAAATAAATTAGCAAAATAGATTCTAGATAAAGGCAAAACCTTTTCATGCAAATAATTGATAATTGATTAAAAAAAGAGAAACACAGACAACAGAACATGAGGATGAACATCAGTGTGGGTCCATGATCGACAACGGAGGTTTCAATGAAAGATAAGTGTTCTACCGAATGACTAAATACTTGTTTATATTATTTCATTCATGAAATAATGAATTAATGAACAACAAGAACAGACGTAATGTTATACCGGAACTTTTAGATAGAACCTTTCAGAGGAAACCCGCTGGAAAACCTCTAAATGGTCTTTAAATACAATTATTGCTGAATTGGCTGCTGCAGTGATTTGTTGGAAAGTGAACCTGTGTATTGTTCACTCCGTGACACATCAGTGGAAAGTTCTGTGGTGTTGGACCACCACCCTCCTGAAACCGCCACACCGTAGCTGAATACTGGATCTCCTGGGATCATTACGTGTAACATCCACATGAACCAGGAGCTCTGGGCGGACCAATATATGTGTGTGCGTGTGTGTGTGTGTGTGTAAGAGAGAGAGAGAGCGAGCCCTGTCAATAAGGTCTTGTTCCCCTCACCCATGTTACTCCTCGTCTTTTTTTTTTTTTTTTTTCTTGCTCAGACTTTCCGACCGCACATTCTGAAACACTCTGGAACATTCCGAACCAGTCATGGCATTCATCCCTCCACCCCCCTCACATATGTGCACACACACACAATCACACACACACACACACACACACACACACACACACACACACACACACACACACACACACACACACACACACACACACACACACACACACACACACACACACACACACACACACACACACACACACACACACACACACACCGTGCGTCCTCTCCAGGTCTGGGGGTGACCTTGGAGGTGGAGGGTTAGGGAGCAAAGGAGGTTGGGGGTGGGGGGGGGGACCCAAAAACCCGTGCTCAGCACCGGGCAGGGACATGGCTGCTCCTGAAGAGAGCTGCACAGGTGGGCAAAGTCTGACATGAAGAAATCAGACCGCTCTAACAGAACCTGACCCACTGAGGATGGAACTTTCAGGTCAGTGGGGCCTTCAAATTCAAAGCATGAGGTAGCCTATTTTTAATATGGTTTTCACTCCTTTCTGGCAGAACTGACGACACTTTATATATCCGTTTATTTATCGCAAATAATGTTGCCATAACGAGATTAAAACGTCATCGGGTAGTACTTTCCTCATATCTAGACTCAGACCTCATGGCTGCTTGAACACCCTGAAAGGTGTAAGCCGAAACTTGTGGCAGTTTTAGGCTTTTCAATTTAGATTCTCACACTTCTCCTCTAAAGACTCACTGAATGCAAATAGGTTTTTCTTGTTTTATGAATATAAATGTATGCATTAGTACTACGTTAAATGTTTTTTTTGAGATCATGTTCAGCTCTGCAGGTTGAGCTCCCAGGTTGTGCGGTCGTTGGCACTGATTCTCAACCTGTTTCTGCCCAGCCCTATGGGGGGGGGGGGGGTTTACTGGCAGCCCATCGCCCGTCCCCACGGCGTTCAAAGCTCCGGCCGGTGTCATGTTTTCCTGCCCCTATGCCAGGGTCAAAGCGTTTCATGCCAGACCAATATGGAAAACAAGCCTGAAGAGCTGCAGCTCTGTTTCAAAACAAGAGGCTCCTTTGAGGCCGTATTAGCCCATAAACCCTGGCCTCACCTCGCTGTTTCCTGTTATGGGGAGGTGGGCGCTTATTGGGAGCGGGGGGACTGGACACTCTCACTCACACACACACACACACATACAAACAGTATGCTCACCTGCCAGGTCAATGTCACACCACAAACCCCTCAAAGACTGAGCCTTTGACACAATATGATCTCTGCACTCTACAGCTGCACTGAATTGAAGCAGCAGGCTGGCTCAGCAACAGGAGGGTGAAAGTTAATTAAAGTACAAGACACTGACTGTCTCACACTTCAATACTGGTGTTATCAAAGTTACTGATTCCCTCCTCTGAAGGTTGAGGATCGTCTGCAGTAGCAGAGATGGTCTGCTGTTGCATACAGGTACAGGTGTGAAATCTTTTACTAACAGTCAACAGAGTGGGGTGAACTCAGTAATGATCAGTATTTTAAACTTGAGGCCAAACAGACTTTATATTTTATATATATATGTATATGTATATATAACTGTATATTTCCAGGCACTAGTCGTGTTAAATGACTTTAAAAAGAAACTCTTAAGATACTTCAAGGACTGAAACGTGCAAGCCCAGCTCTTTCGATGCATAGCTCTGTGTGCGTTTCAATATATTCTAAATACTATTCAAGCTTGTTTTCATATTCTGTACGTTTTGTCGATGAACCACTTTGCATAAAACTTGAAAAAACAAAAGAGCAAGAAGGTAAACAGAGAAGAGCATCAGGAAAGGGTGAGAGGACAGAAGGGTTGCTGATGATGTTGGAGTAAATCGGTCCATGTGTCTGAAAAATGTTAACAATGTTCGCTAATCAGAACCCCCCATTCCTCCAAATGCTATCATTAGCTCCAATCAATCAACATTCACATTATCATCATCATCACAGTGTGGTTTCACTGAGAGGACGCATTTATATCAGAGAGGTGGCACCAGTGTGTGTGTGTGTGTGTGTTTTTGCATGCAGTGCTTTAAGAAATAAACATGTTTTCATGTAATTTTCTACCCAAGAAGAGACCAGAACAAAGTTATGATTCACATGGGGAACTATCTGATCAAAGTAAAAAGAATAGAAACCTCACAGAAAGTTTTGTCACTTTACAGTTGACGATATCAAATGCAACAAACACATCTTTGGTTCATATGAAGAGTCCAGGAGAAAAGTTCTAAACAATATCAGGGATGTCAAAGATGGAGGAGCATCAGCTGACATCTGATTCTAATGAATGGATGTCATGATGAAATATCTGGAAGTATTGCAAAAATGTTGACAAAACTCATCCTCTGATGTCATGGGGTCTCTTTTACTTCGATGGATACTGTATACTGCGACTGTATGCTGTGTGTAGCCCAAGTTGACTCATTCAAATAGCTTGTTTTGTCCAACTAACATTTACTATTTTACCATCATCAGAAAGTAAAATAATTGCTAATTTTCACATTTGAGAAGCAAGAAGCTGTGAATTTTTTTTGCCATTTGAACATCATTGCACATACTGACCTGTATGTGCAAATTTAATGTCGTAAACAGCAATAACCTCTTTAAACATTACGACCATCACCACAGCTACCATCATCCCTTCAGCCAAAGAGAAGAGAAGTAAGTGTGTGATGGCTTTGCACAAACCCCAGCACTGTGAGTTTAGCACCCCCTGCTGGTTGATCAGTGAACCACTGGGGTCAGTACCAAGAGTGTTGCTAGAACTGCTCTGTGACCTTTAACACCTTAGATCAGCTGCATATATGTAGTTATGCAAACACGGAGTTCATGCGTCTGTCATTGTGCATAAACTACAAATGAGTCACGTTAATGTGCTTTCATTGGACCGCAAGAAGCTGCCAAGCCGGTCTGTAATTAGGCCTGATATGGTTTAATGACGCTGTAATCACAGACACAAACACACAAGTAGGAACACTGAATCTCTCCCCTCGACGCAAGCATGTCGCTGAAATAAATAAACAATTCAATACCCTGGTATTAATATGACTTCACTTACTTAATGTACAACATGTAAATCTAAAGCTGGATTTAAAATCCACATCCATGTGTTCGCTGCAGCTGAACTCTCACCTCTTCCTACAAGTTACCAGACTTTCATTCGGATGAGGGATCTGCCTTGAAGGAGCCATCAGCAGCAGTTATGAGCGACGGAGGAGATGCGTGCGCGGATTCTTATAAGCTTTATGATTATTATTGCTGGCACCCAGCTCAGATTCTATCCCTTGCTGCTAACGGAGGAGTCGGTTGAAGGAGGCGAGGGAGGAAATGAGAGAAGGGTGACCGAACTCCAACAAAAGGATTGAAGGAACAGAGGCCTGTAGGATGAGCATCAAACGGTCTCGAGAGGTCGTATCGCGGTGCCGCTTTGTTTTCCCAAGCAGACGAGCTGTGGAAAGAAAGTGTGAACCTCAAAGCCAAAGTAAAAAGTTTTACTGTCGGAACGAGAGAGGCTGGAACCTGTCCTCTCCATAACCCTGGATCGTAAAAAACAGCTCTATCAGCCAGAGCCCCCGCGTCGCTCCGCAAGCAGTGCCTTGGCACTCAGGTGGTCTCCCATAACTCACACCCTCTCGCAGCGAGACGGCAGTCAAAAAGTATTCAGACTGAGCAGCATGCTGCCCTGAAATTTATGAACAGTAGTTAGCCAGCCGATTTACGGCATCACCGTGACTCCGACACCCCGGGCTGGTGACTTCTGAGATGGTCTATCCAGATGCCGGCCTCCTGCACGGGCTCTCAGGTATTGAACGGTAACGGCGTGACCGACCGCTATAAAAAATTAAAAAAAAGAATTAGCTCTGTTATTCTTTGTGTGCTGTTAAAGAGTTTGACGGGAGTAGGAGCTGTGGAAAGTGCAACTGGACCCAAAAAAAAAAAAAAAAAAAAAAAAAGGTCGACAATGACTTTCCAAGAACTCTTATAGTTTGGAGGACAGGGTTGCGTTCCGGGTCGACGGACAACTTTCACCTCAAGCCATGAAACATTCCCACCCGAGTCTCTGCTCAGTCCCTGCTGCTCGTTGGCTCTATTTTACTTGGAAATTACCGCCAAGAAAATGACAATGCTCTTTTTTGTGCACACTAGTACAAAGCATACAGTACATGCACAGATACAAATGGTCTCCGTCAGGTCCGTGCTGCTGCCACTTGTTTGAGAAACAGCCATGGTGGTTAGACGTAATACTGCGTCATGTAGTTTCTTCAGATCATTATGCTTTCTGAGGAGCATTCTTCACTGGAGAAATGGCCAAGTGGAAGGGTTGAACTTCCTCCATCAGGACTTTTCAATTCTATTCCAACTTTTATTTCCAATATAGTATTCATGTATATTCATTTTATTAAATGTATTGATGTGTAGGACATGTAAATGTAACTGCATTTAGAGGTAAAATGTCAGATTGAACTGCCTGACAGATATCCAACAAATCAAGGAACTTGTACAAAAATCCCACAAGGCAACATTTCTTGCAAAGGATTATAAAAAGTAGAAGGCCAATTACTCAGTCGGCTGATTAATTGGGTCGATTAATGTCATTTTGAGATGACCGGCCAATGTCCACACTAAAAATTTCACCGTAAAATAACGGTAACTTACTGGCAGCAGGGCCCGTAGTTTACCGTTTTTTTACAGTGAATCTACTGTAATTTAATTTTACGGTATCTTACCGTATGCTGGATTACGTTATTTGATAGCAGGATAACAGTGTTTTACGGGGATTTTACAGAATATGCCAGAATTTTACCATTTATTTACAAAGGGTAATACAACCCAATACTTTTGCATTTAATTCCCAACAAATAAAAGAACAACAGACATTCAATACATAATTGTTGCAGTTTAATACATGTTCTCAAGACAAATAATAAAGGGGCATTTGTATTACATCACAAAACTCACAATGTACTGCATGTTTAGAAGAAAACAAATAAAATCATAAAATCTTTAATGATCGGCTTAACTGAACTCCTGAGGATAACCTCAGACCAGTAGCGCCGAGATCGAAAAGTGGCCGATGGTATGCTACTGTTATTCAGTGGTAGGTACCTATCCCTAAAGAGTTATGCTACTTGGTCAGTGGTAGGTACCTATCCCTAAAGAGTTATGCTACTTGGTCAGTGGTAGGTACCTATCCCTAAAGAGGTATGCTACTTGGTCAGTGGTATGTACTAGGGGTGCAACGGATCACAAACCTCGCGGTTCGGATCACGTTTCTTGAGTCACGGTTAAAAACAAAGATAGCAAGAGTAGCGAGAACCATCGCCTGTACAAATAAAGTGATTCGTTTTCATTGAACCCTGTTACTGTATGGCTTCATATTAACTTCCACTGTTACTGTAAAGCTGTTAGAATTGTGGCCTATCTTATATTTGCAATTAATATGCATTCAATCCAGTTCAATTATTTAAATGAAAATCTACTCTGGCTAAAGTAGTTTATCGAGAGTAAAATAATAGCTGTGATCTATACACACCTCTGCATTAGCAACCTGCTGAAATGAAGGTACAGGCACCTTAACCCTCATTACTTCAGGGTTCTTGAGAGCAACGTGGGACTGTTGGGACTGTTGGTACACTGGCTGTGGTCATCACAATGAACAGTGCATGTGAGCCCTTGTTGCTGTAGTTCATCTCCTTGGAGCAGAGGCTGCATTTAGCATACCCTGCCTTATCAATGTATTTAAACCACTGTGACAGCAGGAAGCTGTACTCGCATCTGTTTAGACCTCCACCTTTATCCAGGCCCAGCTCCACCTTTATCCAGGCCCAGCTCCACTCACAGCTCAGCCCTGCGTCAAGCTGCGCTACACAACCAGCCTCCTCTCCCTGAAGCTCTTTGACCTCATCATCTCATCAGTATCTGGGCCTCATGTTTCGTGGTCATAAAAGTTATTCTGACCACGAAATCATCCTCATTCTACTTTGAGTTAAAAAACACAAACAACCTGCAACCAGATGCGCCGGTGTTCGGGTTTAACTTTTATGAGTGACCGCGTGAACTGAACCGGAACACGGGGGGGCTTCATGTTTCATCACGTTACGTTTTTTTCCTTCTAAATCGCGATAATGACGAACGTTAACAGTCGACAAAGTTCCGCATGCAGTGGACGTTAACTTAACCCAGCAAGTCTGAACGGTAACGGTACATAACGTAACTTAAACTTTAACGGAGGGAAATGAAGGCGCTGTAGACATCTGAACGCCGATTGGCCAAGACTCGACACATCAAAGATGTTCTATTGCGAAGATCACGACATCACCTTTTCTCCTCGTCTCACTCCAATCTGAGAAACGCTGGCTTTTATTAAATAAATAAAATTAAAACATTCATGAATATTCAATTCTGTTAAGTTTAAGTGCAACATGAGGTATGTTGATATCCTCGTCCTTTGATCAATACTGAAAGAAAGAAACAGCCAGTGAGCTAGCTTCCACTGTTTACACTGAACTGAACTGCTCAGCAACAACTTGGGTCTATGTTTACTTCCTGTCAGGTTAAGTCATTCCAATACACAATAATGTTTCATATTACCATTATTTTCAAAAAGATGAGAATATCTACATTGCCAAGTCAAGTTTTTTGAATTTGTGCAGCGATTTATTTTGTTGCTACATTTTTTTTTTTTTTTTTAAATACGTGGACTGCAGACCGAGTGCAGATCTCCTTAAGCAAACAGAAGCAATGCAGACAATAGAAGTGTTAAATAAATGTTGTTAAATTTATTGAATTGCTGTATGATATCTGATGCAAAAAAAGACAGTAACAACGTTTTTTCTGGAAACTTCACAATAAATGAATAATAAAAGACAAACCACTTAAATCTAGAAAAAAAAATAAGTACATCAAACGTATCATATCAGGCTACTCAACCACACTCTTTTTCATGTCAGAATGAAACCACGACAACTTCCTGACCTCCAGGCAAAGAAACGACATCGATCAAAGCCGTGAGAATAATAAGGCGGCAAACATTGTTAACAACATTGTCGCTTTACAGGAGTAGTGTCATTCAACCAACCTTTATTGACGTCAATCTGTACAAAAAGACCAGTAAGACCAGTTCTGCTAATCTACCACTCCTCTTCCCATTGTACAGGTTCTGTTCAGGTTACGACACTTTAGATGAACGGCACATTTAGCATCTTAAACATGACTAATGTTTCTCACCACAGTAGCAGCAGCATGCAGTCAAACAGCAAGTCAAACAGTGAAGCCTTCCCATAGGTCCGACACAGAATGAGATGATTCCTCATGTTTAAACAGCCACAGAACGGAGTCCGTCGCACTGGCAAGATAACATCGCTCCATTAAAAAAAAGGCATCAACGAATTCAACTAATACAGTCCAGAATTTGACGCAGACCCAAACATCACCACTTCTAAATGACATCAAACGGGTGACACCGACACCTCTGCACTGCCACTCAGCTGTTAGTTCTCATGGTTTTATTGAATCGGTTGTCCCACAAAGAATTCCCCACCCTTTTGCAGGCACGCATTTTAGCCTAGGCTGCTAATATTTGGCATGGGGAAAGTGTGTGGGTGTGACAGTGGGCGTTCGTGTTCATGCTACTTAACAAGGTTCCCGAGTACCATTTTAGTCAGACAAATCTGTCTCATGCAACTAAACATTTTCATATAAAGAAAACATTTCCTGTGCACCTCACAACCGGCAGGTCTGTCTGTTTGCAGGTGTGAAACCGCGCCCTGTACTCCTACTTGAGCAACATCATAAACTTAAAACGTAGTGGTCATTCGAACTGTAGATGACCGTTGCTTGCCAACATCACAGATGGAGCCGTGGAGGTAACCGCTCCACCTTTCTCACCTGGCCCCCCCCCCCCGGTAAAACTCTTGATCCTGACCAGAGGCGCTGACACAAACTTTGTATGACACTCATGCGGCAACCTTTGGGTTCTGAAGAGTGAAACCAATGAGGAAGTGCCTTTAAACTGGCAGTGGCCCATTGTATTCCCTACTTCTTGGACTCTGACTTGGCCTTATCCATTTAAAAAAATAAATAAAAATAAAAAATGTATTGCCGTTTACAATAATTTACATAACGTTAAGAAATTACCAATGCGTGTGGGAACTGACAAAAATAGTGACGCCTAAAATGTTTATTATTAATTAATGCGGCACCAAAGTGCAGCTGCAAAACCAAGCAAACCAAAGGTTAGGCATTCTCAGTGTGACTAACAATAAATGCGCAGCAAAGCATTTTGTCCAGATGCCAGTTTTAGGCTAACCTGACAACTTCCTTTACGTGAGAGCAGGTCTTTGACACAATAGAGGTAATATGACAAGAAAGGAAAGGGAAACTGTTTATTTTCCTGTCAGCCAGAATGTAATGGGACAATGAGGGCAATATCCCGGACATAATCATGAGCATACCGTTTGAACCATGCACTCTTACCTAAGCTTCCGATTCATATTGGTCATAAATATCTATGTAGCTACTACTGCCCTTTCTTTTTAATGGTCCACACGTGCATGGGCACTCTTCTCACTTTGTATGATATGCTGCACAGCAATTCCCCCTCAGGACCGGCTTATCTCGGTGAAAGTCGGGTCAAAGGTTTCAGTGTAATCAATAAAAGGGATCGGCACAAGTCAAACGCCACAGGTAACGTTCAAAGACAGGAAAGCTAACAGACATACCGACAATGAAGGAGTTAGGACGTTTGTGAGCAACAGCTGCGTGGTTGTATGAATGTTGACGTTACCTGTCCGGTGATGCCGGTGATAACAGCCACCTTGCTCTTCTTCAGCTCTCCGTTCAGCGCGGAGCTACCGTTAGCGGACTCGGAGCTCATGGCCATCTCTTCTCGGCTGGATGTTTGCAGTCTGCTGTCACAACGACCGACAATAAAACAAAAGAAACCTGTCCGTGCTGAGTGTTTAGCGTGTGAGCACTGACGAGCATCCGTAAACCACAATACACGCCGCTACAAAAACTGCACGAGCCTACGTATGAGGAAGCGGCCGCGAGATCAGCCAATAGGAAGAGCGCAAGTGGGAGTCGAAGAGCAGGCTTCGTTAAAGAGGACGGAGGGTATGAGAGGACTGGAGGTCCTTAGCCACAGCGCCATCTAAAAGATGGCGAGAGAAAGGCAGCCTCCTATTATATCAACGATGGAGGTTGTTTTGTGTGGCTTTTTGTCAGAAGTCGCGGTGGAATGTACATTTAGGTACATTCAAGTTCTGTACTTAAGTCGGATTTTGTATAGTATTTCCATGTTATGCTACTGTACTATATTTTTGAAGCCAATATTGAACTCTTCACTCTTCATATATTTTACAGGTTACTTTGCAGATTCTGATTATTTATATAGGCCTACACAATATGCATCAACTGAAAATTATGATGTAATAATATTGAACCCAACAGTATATAAAGTATAGTTGAAATGAGCTCCACCTTTAAGTGATGAACACATAATGCACCAATGATTCTAACCCAGAGACATTTATTATTATTCCAAAAAGGGACATTTTCCATAATGAGTACTTTTACTTTTGGTACAGTATGGTTTAATTATATTTTGGTGGCAATATAATCCGTCACACATCTGAGGGTGAACCAGAGCCGGTAGGTACAAAACAAGACCTATATTAAAAGGGGAATAACAGGAAAGGTGAGATGGAGGCTTGCAGGAGTCCTGGCTGGGGAGTGAGGAAATGCACCCAGGGGAGAAGGCTTGGCAGAGGGAATCCTAGGACTGTAAGGTGGCTGGTGGGCAAGCTGGCGAGGCAAAGCAGATTTCCAGGTATTAACAAGGAGAGCATGTCTTTCAAGTAAGCAGGCAAACAAACAATAAGATAAGACTACCAGGAAAGATGAACAAGTAACAGAGCTGGAAGCGTGGCACAAACCCTCTTTGGCTCATCGGTCCAGTGGGAACTGGCTGTTGGTGCAGATATTATATGCAAATATATAGAGCGGAAACACTGCCAACCTATTTCTTTTGGATGTGTAGCCATATCTTACACATTGAACACTTTGTTACAAATTTTGCAGTATGATGGATAATTTCAAAGTATTTACTGATAGTATTCAGAGGCTATGTGGTTTACACATTCATATGTCAACACCATTTGTTTAGTTTAATGTAAAGTCAGAGGATGTAGAAGCGAAATCACAATGTTTTTTTAGAAAGCAATACATTTTAAGAATCACAACAGCAGTGCATACGAGTCTCTTCTGGTTCTGGATAAAGCAGAAAAACTTTACATTTTATACTTCTAGTATGTGAAACCAGCACGGTAAAACTCAGAAATCAACCTCCAGAAGCAACAGTGCCGAGGTGTGCAGAGATGATATTTTGTGTGCGCGCATTTGCAGCCTTTTGTGTTGGTTCAGAAAACATCCTGGTCAAACAGGATGGGACATGTCAGTGGCCTGTACAAAGATAATAAATGAACTCTGAACATTGTTCTTGTTTGACGAGCATCACTGCGACAGGAACAAACACTCATTTCACCCTCCAGAAAATGTTTCCTCTCTTACTGGCACACACTGGTGGACAAGCGTTATTCAAACCCACAGAACTTAATTTCTAGTTTCAGTAAAGTTCTCAATATATACCAATTATGTCGGCTTGAAACATGAATAATTGTGTGAACAATAATAAAAAGAATGATGTTCTCATTTTCGGCTATATGCTGAAGCGTCCTGGGTTTGGCCACATCAGTCAAGTGAACTGAGTGTAAGTGGTAGGAACCAAACCCAGACGTGGCTGAATTATAAAACAATGGACTAGTCACGTTCTCTCAGGTTCAGCTAAGACTCAAGCGCAGACACAGACACAGGAGATGAGGTGAAGTTGGAAATAAGGTCTTTCACTTGTCACCCAAAAAAGTCATAAACAAAAACTTAAAGCGACTCCAACAGGGAGCGGGCAAAAAATCCAAACAGAATTTTAAAAAAGTCACAAAAAAAAAAGCAAAGGTACAAACCAGGAGCAAACACGAGGACCAAACGCTGGAGCACGGCGCAGACCCGAGGGAGCCACAATGCTGGAACAGACAGGGAACGAACAAAGACAATCTGACCACCAGAACAGGGAAAGCAGGGGAGTATATATGTGTGGGGTGATGAGAAGATTGAAGGCAGCTGGGTGGACTGGGCAGGTGAGTAGGATGAGTGCAATCAGGGGAAACACACACAGACAGGAACACAGGGAGCAAAGCCTAAACCGTGACAGGACCCCTGTGCACAGACATGCAAAAGGCCCCACCACCTCTACACAGGAGCAAGACACACAGACGTTTTAGTTGTTTAGCTTCTTTTTGTGGTGATTTTGTGTCTCTCTGCAGTTGTCGTGCATCTCTTTGTGGGTTTGTGTCGTTTTGTGTCTTTTTGTAGTTGTTTTTGTGCCACTTTTGATGATTTTGAGTCTTCTTGCAGTTATTTCTTGTCAGTTTCGTTCCTTTTTGTAGTCGTTCTGCATTTCTTTGTAGTTATTTTGTGTCCCTTGTTGTTGCTTTATTATTTGAAATGACCTCTCATCTTGTGAGGAAAGAGTCTGGAAGACTTTCAAATCAGGGAGTAAAAAGTATAAAATAAATATCCTCAATTATACATCTTATTCCATTGTCATAGTAACATAATATGTTGCAGCAAAGTGCTGTCCCATTCCTATTCACACCATCTCAAGCCCTCACAGTCTCTCACACTCAATCACTTACCAGGTGACGTCAGTAAGTCCTTGAAGATTCAGGGTTTGGGGCTTGAAGGGGGACATTGGGATTGGGCCTCCAGGGTGATTACCTTTCCCCGCCCTGATCAGCTCCATAGGTTCCCAATTACCTCTCCTCATCCCGAGAGCATTTAGTCTGTGTGCTCCCCTTTGTTTGTGCCGGTTTGTCTTTGTACCTCTGTATCTAATGTTACAACAATTTCTCCCTGTGCTGTTGGTTGCCTGGTTTTTTGACTCTGTTTGTCTCTTTTAGCCTCACCCCCATTTTGGATTTGTTTGCCTGTGCTGACTGCCTACCTGTGTACTGAACTTTTTAACAGTAAAGACAGTGTTTTATTTAGCTGCCCAGGCCTCGAGTTGTGCTTTTAAGCCCTTATCTCATCTCTTAACCTTTCATAGTCAATGTGAGTCGCTTTGCAGCTGTCCTTTTGAGTCTCTTACCAGTTTGTATGTGTCTCTTTGAGTGTTGTTTTGTAGGTGACGGCCAGGGGCCTTTTAAACTTTGGGCCCCTGTAATAAATACAGACGCTGTTAACGATACTTTCATTAAGTGTGGGAAAGGGTTTTTTTATTTAAGAGGAAAATTGGGTTTTGAGTTGTTAGGACTGACTTGTCAGCATGCCAGAATAAACACAATTTCTGGAACAGAACTTGATATATTGACCCAGATAGAGGAATTCATTTCACATCACTTGAGACGCTATCTCAAGAGGAGCGATCAAACACTCGGAGCGGCTCCTAATCTCTTATTATTCTTGTACATTCGAGCATGTATGAAAACATCTGCTCCAGCTGAGAGTGTCAGTAGCCTGTGAAAGCACTCTCTCACCGCTGGACTTCCCAGAGTGCACAGCGTGATGGGAGGTTTGATTACATTACAGTCTAAAGAGCCTTTCCCACTGAACAAAATACCCACTAACACCCAGTTTTTGTCAGTATAGTCACGGATATGTGTCGGCTCCAGCTCCGCTCGACGTGACAACCAGAAGGACATGCTCATTTTTTGCCCCTTTTCTGGTACAATGCTATATGATGCATGTTGAAGATAAAAAAAAGATGACGGATAAACTCTAGAAAAACTGGACAGTTATTACAATTTGTTAATTTACAAAAAATACAATCAATACGCTCTCCTCAAAGCTACCGAACTAACCTCCGGTGCCAAAAACATAGAAGGGCCTACTCCTCTACTGGCAATAGGAAAGGATTCTTATACTTATTTTTAGCCGGTTTCCCCGTGTTTAAAAAACCTGCATATGTCTTAATTTTGGTGAAAAAACGGGTATAAAGTAGGCCTAAACATGATCGTATAAAAATAAGTGCCTGGGGTCCTGAGAAGCACAGCAGTCTGCTCATCCACCCTCCCTGATCAAAAGAGAAAAACACACAGCTATGTTACAGCCAGGGGCTCAGCTTCTTCTCTCATTGTTTGGACGGCAGGTGTCTCGCTGTGCGTCCACTGCGGTGCAGAAACCTTCATCCTTCACTCATGTGTTGTGTGCGTGGGAACACCAGAGAGTGCAGGGTTAAGTGCAAATAAGAGAGGGATAAAACCGATTTTGTTATATCAGACCAACACCTTCATGCTTTCCTTTCCCTCCCTCCTCCTATACACTAGCACACGCCTGTTTGCCCACACTCTTATATTGATTTAAATCAGGGTGATTCATCACTCATATGTGTTCACGAGTTGATGTGATGGATGGATGGATTTATCAATCAGCAAAGCAAAGTGAGAAGCCTGGACCAACAAACGCATTGTGAACATTTCTCTGTAACTGCTGGATAAAAACTAATTCAGTTATTTATTTTCTGCAAATAGTTCCCTGTACTTTTACAACCAGATTAATACATTGAAAAAACGTCACATTAGTAACATGAACAGTGGTTGTATTGTATATTCAGGCTTATTAATATAAATTCATAAGTCATCTCTGCTAAAATACACTTTTGTAGCAATGCAAGCAATTGTTGCTTGCATTGCTAATATTAAAAGCCTCACTGTTTCACTCTATGATAGGACTTACTGTAAGTTACTGTATTTGATCTTCATCTGTCTTCCTAAAAAAATGCATATCTCGTTATTTCGTTGACTCGTAAATAAATATAATATATATTTTTAAAAAAAGATGTGGCTCAGCTGGGCTCCGACAGCACTGCAGACCCCAGAAACCAGCCTGACCAGAGCTGGCCCTCTGGACATAGCACCGCAAGCATTGCTCAAAACAGGGTGTCGCAGCATCTATGTGTTAAAAAGATTTCCCTTCTTAGATGCTTTAGAGCAGGGATTCCCAAAGTGTCGCGCGCGCACACCTGGGGGTGCGCGAGCTGCCTCCAGGGTGTGCGCGAGAGGAAAAATCTAATGGTGTAATAATTGATATTAAATATAATTTTAAAAAATGTAAGTGGGATTTTTCACAAAAACATGAAATATAAAAATTCCCTTTGTCACATTTAAATTAAAAAACTTACAATTTAATAAATAAATGCACTTCAGCTCCTGCCGCCAGACTGTCTTTTACGTACACAGCCTAGCTTGTGCAGCTATAACGTCAGCTAACAGCAACGTTCATGCAAATATGCTAAACTGGCTGAAATCGGGGAAACTGTCAGGTGGGACATCTGAAGCTATCAGTCATAAAAGAGGAGAGAGAGAGAGAGAGAGAGAGAGAGAGAGAGAGAGAGAGAGAGAGAGAGAGAGAGAGAGGAACGGAGAGGTGCGTTGGGGAGAGACCGGGAGAAGAAATCGAGCAAGAGTCAGAGAAAGATGAGACGGAGGAGACCGACAAGGAGGAAGGGATAGCACAGACAAATCGGGAGCACATAGGTCCATCGCGGAGTCAAGGTGAAACAAGAGGAAACGAGAGTGAGCATCAGACCGGGAATAAAAAGAGGAAACATGATGAAAGGTATCTGGGTCTGGGCTTCTGTTCTCTCATTGGTTCGATTGTTATGCGGCTATAAATAGGCTCTGTTGATTTTATTTTTAAGGTGTGGGGGATTGGGGGGTGCGTGAACCCGGTTGGGATGTAGAAGGGGGTGCGTGGCCTAAAAAGTTTGGGAACCGCTGTTTTAGAGGAATCATTTGACGTTAGGGGAAATACCTTTATTTGCTTTCTTACTGTGGGTTAAATGAGAGCAATAATACCACTTCCAGTCTTTAGGCTAAGATAAGGTAATTGATTCCCATGTTAACAAATGAGAGAAGCATCGATCTCCTCATCTGACTTCCGGCAACAAAGCATCAAAAATGTAACTGTTGCTTTAAGATTCAAGAGATTCAAACTATTTTTTTCCGATCCACACAAGCCCATGCAGACAACGCCCCGGGCCAATGAAATCCTGGATGTAGAAGCAACAGTGACAGGAGGGCAAACAGGCCCACCGACGTCACTGCTGCACAAACAGAAGCAGGATGAAGCTGATGTTGCCTCTCCCCAGCCAAGAAGCTCCACGTTTACCTCAACAAGGAGCTGATTGCTGACAGTGTCAACAGTAAACTCACAACACACACACACACACACACACACACACACACACACTTGGGATCGTTTTGTGTTAAATCAATTAAGGTCTTTCTTCCTCTTCGCTCAATGAGATTTGCCATGAGAGGTATTTGATGGGAATTGAGTTATTTATTGGGTCTTGAATGGTGTATTGGAGAACAATCAAACATTTGCCTTTTTTATTTTAGAACTACTCCTGAACACAGAGGAGGAGGTTGTCCCAGATAAGAGGAGGAGGAGGTTGTCCCAGATAAGAGGAGGAGGGCCGATGAAGAAGAGGCCTCCCCACATAAGAAACAGTGGACCGATGAGGTTAAGTTCCCACCAGACAAAAAGATGTCTGGGTGGAGGAGAGGCGTAAACCTACCCAAAGGACACACCGCTCTAGTCAGAGACAGTTACTGACAAAATGTTTTCCTGTTTTTTAATGCTTTGTAACTGATTGATTTCAAAATATTAAAAATGTTGAGAAAATGTCCATACAACAACAGTTGAATATGAAGTTATTTGCCACAGTTTTACTCTGCCATTTTGATTAACTTCTTTTAATAATTAGCTTGAGGTTTTTAAAACAACTTGCTTTGTACTATAAGAAAGTCCTCCAAAATAATCTTTCTGATTATTTTCTGATCTGAGCAGTTATCGTAAGGATGACACTGTCAAAAACTACCAACTAATTAACTAACTAATTAACTAAGTAAATGGTTAACAATTGTCAGTTATAAAAAATATTCACATGCCAGTTTTCTGATACGACACAACTGCGGCTTAGGTTTGGTTGAGTTTAAACAAATAAAAATATGAGGGAACAACACAAGCAATGCTGACTGTTGGCAGGGCACTGGATGATCCTTGACAGGTAAATGTTAAATATTTTAGACATTTGAACAAACAACTCATACTGTTGGTTTTTATGTTGGGAACAGTCTCTGTAAAGCCTCTGAGTTTCAGCCATATGACCTGGGGACGCTGAATGTAAAATAAAGTGTAGAAGACAGTGATGTGCTGTGTTTACTGTATGTCTCATAATACTCATGTATCATGTCGGACATACGTGTAGTATATTATGCATGTGAAAACACACACACACACACACAGCAGAATGAGAAATAAATAAATGAGGTTTGAAGTGACGGTGAAACCTCCAGAAGTCGATTCAAACTAAAGATCTCATGATGAGTCGAGTCACGTCATTACATGTAAATAAATAATGTCTTCCTTTACAACTGTCAGATTAAAAAAAGGACACATGCTTTAGTATTTTCACATTACGCTTTCATTTAATGCCAACTTTTTTAATTTTCAGCATTATTCTGGAAGCAACGTACTCATTCAGGAAGTCGTGTTTATTCCCTACTGAGTACAACTTTCATGCAAATGGTGACACAATTTTGATATTCAAGTTTTAGTTCCAAAGATATAGACTGTAAGAAACACTGCATATGCTTTTTAGTGTGCTCTATTTATTTGCTTGTTCATATTCTACATTGAATTATGTCATCATTACACAAGAAAACTTGGAAAAAAGGTGTCATGAATTCAAATAAACAAGTATTCAAGATCACAAAGCTGTTCCATTTCTAATCGGAGCAGCCAACAACGGAGTGATAAACATTCATCCAACTTCCCGTCTCTTAGAGAGAACGGGATAGTGAATCAGTCGGCGCGGATGTCATCTCCGCTCTGTCGCTGCAGATCCTGTTTGTCTCCCCTGAAAGAAATCCCATCTTGAATATAAAAGCTTTGCACTTCAAGTACAGTCTGGTGTTGAACCAGTAAATAAAATGAACATAAGAATCCACTTCAGTCGTAATCGGGAGTCATTCATAGGTAGTGTTCTGTTGTTCCTTAAGCCTTCATGGAAGGTGAGGGGGCTACTGCAAACTGCCGAAGCGAAGGCGAGCTAGTGGCATGAACGCATACGGAAGGCAATCCGGTCTGCAGTGAAAATGTACCAGAAACGTGGGATGAATATGGCTCGAAACAGGAAGTATTCAGTCATTGAGATATCCTCACTTTTCAGGGGAATGAGAGTATGAGGCGTTGTGCTACACACTGTACAAAATAAATGAATGTGCTGTGACTTCAACTGCAACCAAGTTCTAAATGTTGTCGTTTTTTAAACTCTATGCTCAAGAAAGAATAACATTTTATAAGACTTAAAATAATAATTAAAAGAAAAATTGAAATTAAATTAAAAGAAAGAAAAAAAAGAATCTGTATTCACAAAAATATATTAATTGAATAATAGCTTTCGCTCTCTATATTTTGCTCAATGTTTGCTAAATCTTGTAGAAATAGGACAAAAAGTGCAAAGCATGCAACAAACCAGGACAACATGACAAACTGCTCACTATCAGGGGGAGAATAACAGTGTCTGTGTGATGCTAAACTGCTGATTTTCAGTTTTGCCTTTTCACTACATGTGGAAGTTGTGGAAGTGGCAAATAACTCAGGTCTTTAGTCGCTAATATTTTGGATTCACCGCTGCGATACAGGTCGTTCTAAACACCGCCGTAGAGCGAGCGAGTCCACGCTGGTTCAGGAGGAAGGTTTGTCCTCTGCGGTAAGCATGCTAGTAAGCATGCTAGCAGATGATTCGTGACTCGACGGCAGCGTTTGAAAAGTCAGTTTTTCTCCTGCGGGCCTCTCACTATTCAGGTCAGAACTACAAGCTGCGAAGCTAAGCTAACACGAGGATGCGAGAGTAGTTATCCTGTAGCCATACAGGTACAGCAGCATTGGTCCAGTGTTGAGCTCCAGGGCCCTACATTGTCAAAAGGCATGCTGAGGGCCTCACAGTGTTTCTAAAAAGGGAAAGAAGAAAAGGCAGATATCAGGTTTTAAGTTCGTAAGTAGCCGGATGGGGAAGAAACAATGCTTTAGATTCAGAAATGAATCACTAACTAGCAGGAAACATGTCTTACCTGTCTGGCTCTCTGGAGAAGGAGCATGCGTGGAGTGGCACTTGTTTTTCTAAAATGAGAGAGGATCCGCTGAATTAGTGCATTAGAGCAATGAACTGAACACTGGTTTGTTTCTTTGTCTATTAGTGTTTTTTAACTTTTAATTATTTACAATTTCTGTCGCTTGTGCTTTGCCACACATGTTCCCTCAGGTCAAGCCTGGTGTCTTCACTAACACAACTTATATAACTCACATAATGTTTGATGTACATATTCAAAGTTTCATGATTGCTGTAACTCAGATACAGCTTATAAAAGCTCTGTGCCACCTAAGAATCCCCCACAGAGGAGCAGCAAGAGCTCTGATTGGCCAGCTGTCTTTTGCTGTGGACAGGGAAAGATAGCAGCAGTAATCATGAGAGCCCTGTCTTTACATTACCTTCTGATTTAGTCGATAGTGCAGACTCTGGTCTGACAGCCAGGGGTGCCGAAGGGACTCTGCGGCACTCATCCTCCAGCTCTTGCTCTTCACCAGCAGAAGGGTGATGAAGTCTTTGGCCTCGTCGGAGATGTCCGTAAACTCCTCCTCCTCAAAGTTCCACTGACACGCCAGGATGTTGTTCAATGTCTCGTTGTCATCGTCCCCCAGAAACGGAGACAAGCCACTGAGCCTGGACCAAGAGGATACAGAGTTCAGGGATGCTACTGTGAGTCTATGTATATCTACAGTATATGTACTGTATATGTGAATGAGCATCCACAACTCACAGCATGTAAGTGATCACGCCAAGGCTCCACATGTCAGTGGGGAATGAAACAAACTCATAGTTGATGACTTCAGGGGCTAAAAATTCAGGTGTTCCAAAGTTGACCCTGAGCTTCTCCCTGGGTTTGTACCTGTGAGAGGACAAGCAGAAACATAAGAGGCATATATGGGGCTCAGAAGGTCCTGTTATGAAAGATGAGAGTTAACAACGATGTCAAATGTAAATAGATGTCATATTTTACCTCCTGGCCAGGCCAAAGTCAATGATTTTAATCTTGTTAGTAGCTCTGCTGACACAGAGAATGTTCTCAGGCTGAAAGGGAACAAGAGAGGAGGATTATGGGGGAGGAAAGAACAATGATGCATCCAAGGTGACCAAGTGGCAGTAATAAAAGGTTCTGAGTGGATTTTTCTTCCACTGGTATGTAAGACCATTAAAACATCACACCAGTGCATGTTACTCTTCATAATCAAACAATAGATACATAAATGGGCATTAAAGTAGTTGCAGAATGTCCTGAAAAGCAGCCTTGATAATTAGGAACAAGAAAGCTGGTATTGGAAAACAAAATTACAGTAAAATGTGAAAAATCAGAGGGATAGTGCTGATTGTGAGAAGACGAGATTCAAAGTTGAAGTGGGTTTACCTTGAGGTCAAGATGTAGGATGTACATCTTATGCATGTACTGCAGCCCTTCACAGATCTGGCGTATAAACAGCACCGTGTCCAGCTCCGTCAGGTTGTAGTTCTCATCAATGATGCGGTCAAACAGCTCCCCTCCCTCCACACTACAGAAACCAGAGCTTGTAAGTTTGTTGTATTGACGAATGAGAACAAATACTGTGCACCCAGATGAACGCATGTGCCCCCCCCCCCCCCCCGACTTACTATTCCATGACCAGGATGATGTCATGGCGTGACTCAAAGGTGGCGTACAGCTGGATGAGGTTGGCGTGATTCAGCTGGTTCATCACCTGGATCTCATTCCTCACCACTTCCTGAGAGACAAGCAGACAAGAGGCATGAAACAAATACGAGTCAATGAAAAACCTGCAGTGCAGTATGGGGTACGCACATAATGTGCTGGAAAACCATAGAAGAAGATCGTATGTAAAACCCTGAAATGAGCTGTATCGCCATCCTTTGCACCTCCAGTGTAAAATAGGAGTCACTGTTGTTTGGCGTTTTATTTTGCTTCCCTGTTATCGCTTTTATAAAAAAGAGATGGACCTCTGGCTGCTTTCTCATCGACTCTCCTCTCTCGAGCCAGACTTGTAATGAAGTCCATTGTTGTGTGAGCTACTGTTAATATCAACTGATTTCTTGCAGCTGCTTCAAAGTAAATGCTCCACAAAAGAAATCTACTGATATTAATTTAGTGTAGCTACCAGCTAAATTAGACTCGATTTCAGATTTCTTCAACTAAAATGTAGCAGTGCATTGTTTCTAAATGTAACACTTGGAACAGTTTGATTTGATGAAGGTGATGTACTTGCAGGATTCTTGCAATTTTGGGGTTACCCACATGGATGAATGCACTTATTTTGATTTACCTATAAAGTAAAGTAATGTCAGCTAAATAAATGTAATGGAATACATTACATATCAATATTTTGCACATTCCTGCACACAACTGTGCAGTTCTTTTCTTGCTTCTTGACTTTTGCAGTATTTGCTTTTCATTTTAATTACAATGTCAACAAAACACCAAAAGGCAAATTCCTTATAAGTGAAAACCTACTTGGCAATAAAACTGATTCCGCTTCAGATTCTGATGTAAAATTGCAACATTTTGCAGGAGGAATTGCAAAGAGGATGCAGCTACTGGATAAATGAAGATATGTTGCCATCAGGTGCTTGTTGTAGTATGGGACGCTTTTTCAGGTGGCACTGTATCTCAGGCTTTAACCCTTGCACACCTAAGTATCAACTACAGTATATTGTATAGGGCTTTTCCAACACACTGGCATCAACATGAGCTATTCAAAAGGCTTATCATCGGAGCCATTTGAATAGCTCAGATGATAATGTAAGAGCTACAGGCCGACATCTGACCTCTCTCACGTCACTATCGGATGACTACGAGCAAGAAAGACACAATAAGGCTGAAAAAAACTGCCACATGCCCTCTGGGCTGTTGAGCTGTATCTATTTTTAAAACGTAATCCTTTTATGGTGCTTAGCAACAATGGAAGTGATCGTCCATTAGACTGTCTGGGGAAACAGGCATCCCGATGCCATTGTTAAACATACACATTCTGCTACGTATTCAGCATTCATCGGCCGATCATTACTGCACCTTCTCTTTCTGGCTCCTGGCTTTGATGATCTTGGCAGCCAACATTAAACCAGTCGAGTTCTCTATGCACTTGTGGACTTGTCCAAAACGTCCCCTGATGAAAGAAAAGCAAAGCACACATGAATCAAGCACATACATAGATACTAGCGGCAGAGTAGAAGAACCATCCTAGAAATTGGATTTGTTGTTTACAAAACATGTATTGTGCTGAAAGGATGACACAATGGACAGAAATAACAATTTAGATTTTTTAAATTATTTTGAAAAAAGGATTTCGTAATAATTTAAGGAATTTCTCATGGTCAAATTTAAAATAATTGTTGGTTCCAGCATCTCAAAGAAATAACATTCTCTGTTTTATATCACAGTAAATTGGATTTTGGATTGTTAGTTGGACAAAACACCCAATTTTAAGACTCTCTCGAGCAACTTGTATTCTGGGAACAATAATCGATTCGTTAAAAAAAATGATTATGAAAATAATTATGAATCATCATAATGGCTCCCTCAGTCATACAGTAATTAAGGCTATATGCTGTGCCATTATGTCAGTCATTTGAACAACGTGCTTGCGTGCAGAGGGGTAATCTCCAGCTTGAGAGGCAGGATTTAGCACTCGTCTATTACATCAGAGAGGCCCGCTATTTCACAAGAGCCCCTCTGAGGCTCAAAATCAAATGCTCTTTAGAGGGGCAATAAAAAGGTCTTTGAAAAAACTATTAGGCGTCCCCTTACAGGCTGCGAGACCCTCTGTTATTTCATCAGAGAGGGCCGATGTGTTGAAGTGTCTCTGGCTGAAAAAAATGAAGACAAACTCTTCGGAGGTACTCACCCTCCCAGGACCTCGTCTCTGTGGATGGTGTAATAGGTGTCTATCAGATGGGGTTTGGGAGTCACGATGCGGTGGTCGAAAGGTGCTAACGGCGGAGGGCTTGACTCTGAAGAAACCGCAAAGGAAGACAGAATGAAACCAAGGATTTGCCGTTGCTGAAAAACAGAGGGTATGAAACTGGAGGAAGACGCCTCGGACCCCACAAACAAAGTGGATCAAAATAGCAGCATGCTAATGTCTCATTATCTGCTCTGCCAGCTATGCCGACTGACATGTTAGTGACGCTCGAGCAGCCGTGGTGTAATGACATCGGAGCTGTTTCAAAGTCTGGGAAACGAAAAAGTTAAATGTCACCGACTAACAACCAAGTCGGGCCTGTGTGGAGAGCTCACAGCACATGAATACAAATCAAAATGGATTCATTTCAAACAGGTCCAGAGCCAGGATTTTGAAAATACTGAGGCCAGGAGTCATCGTTAATGCAGAAATCTGAGTTTGTGTCTGAACTGCAGGCGTATGGTTGGACTATTTCATCATTTCGAGACAGTTTTTGACTTGTCTTTGTGACTATTTATCTTGTATTTGAATGTAAGTGTTAAGAATAAACATGTGCATTGAAACAAAGAAAGCAGACACCTTTAAACAAAGTTAATGTTGAATTGAATTATTATATATATATATATACAGTATATATAATTTATGAAGCCAGTAAGGCATCTGTGTCCATCTTCCAACAAAAAAACCTGTGTATACAGTTACATGAAACCATATACACAACAGGATATGACCAAGTTAAGCCAAGGTCTAAACTTCAAAATAAAAGTTGCTCACTAATCAACTAATCCTTATTTTGGCAAAAATAGTTACACACCTGATTCCCAACTAAATTGAAAGTTACACATGATAACAACTTCTAAAAAAAAAAAAACATGCATTCCCTACAAAACCAAGGATATGCCCGCAGTGCTTTCCCTTAAAAAAACATAATGTCTTACCAATGATGAATTCTTTCACTGCTGACTCTCCCTCCTCCCCCTCCTCGTCCACCTCTGTCTTTACATCGTCAGATTTGGAAGCCCGAGGCTCGTCCCCGTCGACCACCTGCCCGTCAGCACTTTCCCCTTTACTGTCTTCCACTCTGCTTTTTTTGAGGTCGTCCTTCACCAGGTCCTCTTCTGTGACACGACGTTTGCTGCAAGTGGCCACATCGCCGACTTCCTCAGAGCTGCACGTGAAAAGAAAAGAAAAACGTTGAGCACCTGCATTTTTTACTTAATTTAATGTCATTTTTCTTCTCCCTCCCCTAAAGAATTTGTCTTTTAACTGACTTCTGTGATAGATAAGAACGATAAAGAAATAAAGATAAACACAATGATGACACAGTTATCGTGTCCAGAGTTCTATTCTAAGACAGAAACGATAGCATAAAACTGTGATCGGCGAGAACTACCTCTCCTGTGGCAGGACAGCGGTCTGGCAGATATCTGCGATGATGCTTGGGGCCTTTTCCGATTTTGACGACTCTTCTGCCTCCACTTTATGCTTTCTCTTCCCGTCATCCTCCACTATTCCAGCCTCTTCTTCCGCCTTTTCCTCCTCTTCCTCTGACTCGGAGTCATCAAAGACACCCTCCTCCGCTTCCTCCTCTGTCTCCTCGGTTGCCTTCTTCCCGTCTTCTGACTGGGCGGCAGAGGTGTGTGGTCCGTCCAGGATCAGCTCCGCTGACTCCAGTCTTCTTCCCCCACTTCCCCTGTCCTCCCCCTTCTGACTGTCAGCCTCGGCCCTTCCATGGGAATGCTCAGTGTTCTGCCTGTTGAGCTTTTCCACCTGCTCCTGCAGCACAGGCTCATTCTGCGCGCAAGTGTCTGACATGGGGGAAAGAAAGCAAATAACCAAAAGCGATGTTTGGCACTCAGTATGTACTGCCATTACATTAAAACTTCCAAAACTGTTGTTTTCACTGTGTTTTGAAAATGGCATGGATATAATTCACTCATGGTATATACTAGTATGTATTTTACGCAATAGTTAAAAATAGTTAGGAATGACAAATGGCTTAAAAAATCCAGTATTGGTCGGGCTATAGTCCATATCTATTCCAGCAGATCGTCAAAGGATAAAGATGCTGTGTACGTCTCTCTATAAACTCCGGTGATTGGAGGTTGAGTGTCATTTCCTGTTTGAGCCTATACCTGTCGAGTCTGCAGGTCTCCTCTTCTTCTGGGCCTTCGAGCCCTTCAGGCTCAGTTTGGCTTTATCCTTGTCATCCTTTGCCTGGTTGCAGAAAGAAGAAACGAAGATCAAGCATTAGACAAAACTTGAGACAGGTTTAAAAATCCGAACTCCTATATTTGCAACAAATTCGTTTTCTCTTTTTCAAAAAGTAATTTTTGAGTCTGATTTCTGTCGGGAACAGCGTAGTCATATATATATATATATATATATGTGTGTGTGTGTGTTGTCATTTGCACATTAGTCAGACAGCAAGCCAAAGTGCTTGTTAGCGCTGCTATGGTTGACCCCGTAACTCAAGCATAATGTCGAGAGGAATGGATGCCTCCTCCAGGAGAAAGAGGAGAGGTCACATGCCATCTGTAGCAGACGACATGCCGCACAACACAGGAAACCGTTACATTCACTCTTTCCCACATCTGCTATACAGTGATTAAAGGACATGAAATAAGTGCAGTATCCATGCATGACACTTTACAGGATGGCAGAAAAGAGGTTCAGGTGATCCCTGCTGCGGTTTCTCTGTTATTTAATATGTCATGAATCTGTTTGCTTAGCCACATTCCTAAAAAACACAGCTTCTGAATCAGCCGAATTCAAGCACGCGAGATATTCCAACTCACACGCAAACATACATGGATATCTTACAAAGACAAGGCAGTAAAAAGCACATTCTCAATATTGCTCCAAGAGATTAAGGATAACAAACATGCACAGTGTGACGCAGACTAGGTGTGGCTTCGGAACCGGCCAGGCTAGACTGATTCTGTGCAGCTTCAGTCCAATCCACTGCTGTGCTGATAAAGACACCGTTTGGATAAGATAACCAGTCTGAACCATTTACACCTCAGAGGCAAATGACAATCACTGCACGAGGGAAAATCACTTAACATTACAGAGAATGACATGTTGAAGTACAGCAGAGCTAATAATACGATGTGTATGTAGTCACATCAGAACAATGAGGAATGACTGGCAGCTTGATACTCAAAGAAGGAATCTAAAAGCCTTGTTTACAGACTTACTTTATGTATTTTACCGGCAAAACCTTCAGGTTTTAGAGCCAGCTATATTTGTTATGTCGCTGCAAACATTGTCACATATTCCATCAAGAGGATTTGCAACCTTTCGAACAGCACTTAATGCATCTGTCGCTATGATCACAATGCAATTAGACCTCTCACCATGTTGACATGTTGGCGACACAGCACACAGTAACAGAACCACTATGAGAACATTGCGCTGCACCTTCCTCAAAGTACTCTGTGTTGGAGATGAGAACAGATGGATTTTATGGCCACTTCTTGCTGGGAAACCTCGCTTGTGATGTTGTTAAATCTCTCACCTTCTTGTTCGCCTTCTTTCCAGGCTGTTTGAACAGCAGCTCCACCAGCCTGGAGCTCTTCACTACCTCCCCAATAAAGCAGATCACCTGCTGGGTTCCCTCCACAAGCCTCTCCACCCCGTCCAGCCTGCGTCCCTGACTCTCCATCTGCTCGCTGGCCCTCTCAACGGTCCCATGCAGCTCTCTGCACGCCGCATGAACCCCGGACCCGCGTCTCCCCCCGTGGTCCTCGTCACGCATCGATGCCAGATCCCGACCTATGCCCCTGACGTCCAGGGACAGGCCATCTAGCCGGACCAAGACCGTCTGCTGCATGCTGAGCAAGCGCTCCATCTGAGAGCTGAGTGAGTCCATTCGGCTCTCCACGCAGCGCAGGGCGGCATCATGAGGCGAGCAGGGCGATGGCGAGGAGGCTTGGGACTTGTCTGATCCATTAAGTGAGAGCTTCCTTCCACCCGTCTTCTGGCCATGAAGAGGATTTGGATCATAGACTTTGGCTAAAGAGTTGACCAGGCTGGAGCTCATGACTGATTCAAAGCGGGCCTCCTCACAAACACCGTTTCACTCACTAATCAAGTCCGTTCACTTTTCACGCAGGCTCGATGGAAGCGGCAACAAAAAACATAATACCGGACAAAGCTACTGGCAGAAGGAAAAGAAGTGGAGGGAGAACAGAGATCTCTCCCTCAACGCTGCACCACTGAGTTTTAAGAATAGTAAATGGCTGTACTCCAAATTAAAGCGCGCACCCCCCCCACGGACGTCAGGGACTGTAAGTGGCCAGTGATAAGAGCTGAGGGCTCTGGTGTGCAGCTGGGGATTGATGTGGGTTAGGGGGAGATGCTGCAGAGGATCGCTATGTGACATTTGAGACACTTCAAAAGCCCTTCAGTCAGGTGTCAGAATCCCAAGAATCTGGGACTGAAATATGACGCCGTCAAAAGTAAGACAAACAAATAAAACGTACAGCCAATAAAAATCTCATGATTGAGGACCGGTGCAAAGTTTCAGCAGGTGTAGTAGTATGAGTATACAGTATATTGTGCAAAACATGGATCTTATTTTCAGATTCTATATGGGAGTTTGTGGTTTTCACATCGTTACATAACAGGAAGTGGGGTGACAGGTGCAAGCTGTGCAAGGCCCCAAAAACGTTAATAACCGTTTGAACCTCTGTTAAAGATGAAAGCATTGTGGGTATTTCTTAACCTCCTCAAATGCCACACAGTTCTCACAACTGATTTGTTGGGGAGTCAGCACATTGCATAATTGCCGCAAATTCCCAAGGTCAAGACTTTCTCTTAAAAAAGAAGTTAAGTTAATTAAGATGACTTATGTCTTGTTACTAATGCTGGAAAAATGCATTCTAGTAATTCTTCTTGGGATACTATAGCATTTTTCATGCACAGATGTACGATGTATACTTGCTAACAAGTTACCAAATCACTTGAAAAAAAAAAGTCCCCTTTATTTGACAAAGAACGGTGTAGAAATGGGGGGAGAAAGAGAGATGTATGACATGTAGCAAACGTCCCAAGGCTGGAATCGAACCTGGGACGTTGCAGTACGGCATGCGCTGTGACCGCTCGGCTATCGAGGCACCAAATGTTGTCTTTAAATACAAATAGCCTTTTTGTGGAAAGAAAAAAAGGTCGCTCAAATAATCTAAAAAAGACAGTTTTCACTTAAACATTTTTGCAAAGAGGAAAAGTTGATTTAAGGTTTATTTGAAGAAGCCTGCAACGTTCCCAATATAGTCTGTGCAACGTGAGGGACAAGACAACGGAAGAAAACAGGAAACAGGTGATGCCACTGACACCTAAGAGCTGTTGATACAGAGGGGGTAGTGGGAGAGGAAACGGACTTGCACATGTGTTGTTGCTGAGAATTAACAGGGACAAACTGACACAAATGCACGTGGACACTGAAGTCCATATACACGAACAGACGCAGGCCATCGGCACTTATTGAGACGTGTCTGACTGTGTGCATTGGCCTCAAGCTTTTCCACGTCTCGGTGCAGTGATATCTAGAGTGGGCAGGGCTTATATACTGGCACGCATCCGTCTAGCACAGGAAAAACCTGACCTATAACCCTCGCACTGTTCCCAGTACAGCTCGTCAGCTGTCAGGTTTAACACTCGTATCCCCGGTGCCTGTTTACCAGCTAAGGTGAGAATGAAAGAGGACACTGTGCAAGTGCAGCCAGAGTACAGTTCATAGCCTGGAAATGCACTGAGCGGACAAAGGAGTTCCCCGATCAGGAAGAGCTTTCAGCTAACCTGGTTTGAAAACATGAATACGTCTTGACATATAGTAGTGCAGTTCCTATGTAATGCAGCTATCCAGGGATTTAAAGGGCCACTTCACCTAAAACTAGCCTCAAGCAATGTTTTCAACAGGACGGACACATGTCTTTCCAAATACATATATCAGTTTCTAGCCATTGTGAACAGATTTACTAAAAACTACTTTTAACTCACATTTGCCAGCCAACTGAATCTGTCTTTAGGACAAAGGAAGACCTTTCTCACACTGAGGTATGTGTGAGAAGTGTAACATATTCTATTTGGAAAATATGTTGCTGTTGAATTGCGCAAGACAAACTAAATGCCACAGGAAAAGCTGCATTATTTGACTTTTTGGCCACTTGGGGGTGTTGAACTAGCTATAAACACAACATATTATCACCTTATAAAATTAGCATTGCAACATTAGCATTCATTAGTAGTCATGTAAGTCCAATATTCACTCGTCTTTTAGCTCTGCTTTTGTGTCTTACTCTGAAGCTGCTAAATGCTGCGACATGTTTGTGTCTGACTTCGTTTGTCGTTTGTTCTGGGCAAGTCTTTCCCATTACATCGTTGGATCCGTTGTTGACATTAAATGTTGACTAAAGCAGCTTTAAAACCTGTATTCTTTTATCCCTGTGGCAAGGTGCTTTGGTATAAAGTCACAATGCATTAATTGTCACCCCATATGGATAACAATGGACTCAGTGAGGGAACCGTCATTCTCTGTTGCCATATTTGCTCTAACCTCATCTGTTATTTTCTTATATCGGTCTCGTCACACCCACAAGATGTCTGAAAACATGACAGATGGCTGATACAATTAAAGAGAGATTTTTACACGATCCAGCAAAACAGGGGCTACGAAGAGCGATGGGTAAGAAGAGCAGGGAGATTGGTCTAGGTCTGGTGCTGAGGGCAGCGGGAGGTTTAACTGTACCCTGTTGGACAATCTCTGAAATCCCCAGTCAGAAAAGGTCACATGGTAAGATGAGAGCCAGCGTGGTATAGGAGCACTGTTTAGGAATGAGAGAGTGACGTGGCCTCGCCACTCTGCCCACACATATAGAGTTACTCAGCAGAAAGACACAGAACAATACATAATGCTTATTCTAGTGCCACAGACTGTCCAGTAATCCAATGTCTTGCAGCTCAATGGACCGGACAACATGAATGGCTCCTTCCCCACTTCCTACCCCCCTACTTCCGACACACCCGTGTAGTTCGTATATAGTTTCTGCATCCAACGCGTTTGTGACGCTATCCCACTGACAATATCTGTCCAGAGACAGACGGAAATATAAACACCTGGTAAAGTACACAAAACCGCCTGTGAAGAAGAAGACCAGTTTGGAAAATGCGGCTGGAAAATATCAACATAGCAAGCAGTCAAATTCAAATCTTTAATTATGTACGTTCACTCACAGAGGGGTAGTGTATACTTTGAAGTGCGTGCTTAGTAACAGACTAGACATTTTGGGCAACCTGAGAACAGCTCAGAGACAGCTCTCTGATCACTGGCATGTTCCAGGGCCCTGGTCCAGCTTATTTGGAGTGTTGAGGAATGGTTGATGGAGATTTAGCCCGTGGCGGTTTGGGGGAGGCTTAGCTGAGGATCCACTGCGGCTCCCGGGTCTTGCAGATCCCCCAAATAAGTCCCCCTGAGGAGCAGGTTGCCTGCCCGTGCGCTGGTCGTATGAGCTGGGGAGTGTAAAGTTGGTAGGCGTGGGAAGACGGGTTATCGACAGTGGAGTTCTGCTGGTCGATGGTCGGCAAAATCAAGTAAGGTTTTATGGGTTTAAAGACGACATTGGATATGGCAGAACCGATGTTGGATCGGTGTCTGTAGGAGGGCGGATCTTCTGAAATGAGAACCGAGAAAGCCATGGCGTTGCGGTGGCCCAGACGTGAGCTGCATCGAGAATGCGCGACGGGTGTCGCGGCGTCATTTGATGATTGGGTAAGCGACTGCTAGGTTGTCAGGAGTTTAAGAGATGGACTTGCTGGGCCATCCGTGGCCCCACGTAATGGCTGCAGCTACTATTGGTCAGATTCCGTAGCATGAGGGGAAATGACTTGGCATCTGCTTGCGAGATCCGAGGCTGGTCTACGGCAAAACATCTTCTGTTGTGGAAACCCCCCAAAGACGGCAGAGGGAGCGGCATCGTTGTGTTGACCAATTGTGTGGGTCCATCGCTGGAAGTGGACAAGGTGGGGGCACTGGCATCCAGGTGTCCCGGTTACGGCAACTTGCTGTGTTTTCTGAAAGTAGGCGGTGGGGGGCACTGGCATCCCGGTGCCAGGTGTCCCGGCTACAGCAACTTGCTGTGGTTGCTGGAAGTAGGAGGCGGTAGCACTGGCATCCTGGTGCCAGGTGTCCCGGTTACGGCAACTTGCTGTGTTTTCTGAAAGTAGGCGGCGGGGGGCATGGCATCTCGGTGCCAGGTGCCTCGGCTAAAGAGACATGCTGTGGCTGCTGGAAGTAGCCGGCTGGGGGGGGGGGGGGGGGGGGGCCCCCGTCCCCTTGTTGCTTTACGTTCCGTTGCTTGCTGCGTTCCGTTGCTGCCTTCCGTTCCGTTGTTGCATCGTGGCGTTCCGTTGCTGCGTAGTTGCGTGGCTGCCTTCCGTTGCTGCGTTGCGTGGCTGCATTTGCGCTGCGTTGTTGCTGCGATGAGTCGGTGCTTGCTGCGATGGGTCGGTGCTTGCTGCGATGGGTCGGTGCTTGCTGCGTGGCTGTGTTGTTGCGTTCCGTTGTTGCGATGCGTTCCGTTGCTGCGTTGCGTTCCATTGGTGCTTAGAGAGGGGGACAGCTTAGAGACGGGGACAGAGGAAAGAAGACCTGGCAACCTGGTGCCTGGGTATAGGCAGAAGAACGGTGGTGTAGGGGAAACTGGGACAGGGCCCTGAAAAAAAAAGTAAGGGAACGCGAAGAGACGGACGGGTGAATCCGGCCAGGAGGTGGGATGGAATACTGTAGAAATTTAAAGGGAGGAAGATAGAGTCGGCATCTCGTTGCCGCTATGGAAAGTAGAGTTTGCCTGAGAGGTGATGCGCTGCAACCTGGCAACCCGGAACTTTGTGGGTTGGAGGGCGGAGCTTCGGGGTGCGTGGTGGCGTCACGGTCGTTGGCGTTACGCCGGTGTGTTTTGGATGTAGGTACGTTTGTGTTTTTTAGCCTGGCGTGACTTTAGGAAAGTTGTGAGGAGTTGGCACGGTTTGCTTTGTTGCTTCCATGCTCTTAGCAGGCGGACTATGGTCCAGTTGGAGGTCTCAGCTGGTGCGTCTTCAATGGGGGACCTGGCTGGAGCGCGGAGGGGTGGCGGCGTGCCGGAGGCTCGTTTGGAGGGTCTGGAGCGAGCGAAGAAGGAGAGAGCTGGATTTACGTTTCCGTTGTCTACGTCTGGAGGTGGCGGGTCTCCCTCTGCCACCGAGATGTGAGTTATAGGACGACGGCCGTGGGTCTGAATCTTGGTATTGTTGGATTCTGGCGGGTGGATGGAGCCGGTCGGCGAGGTGAAGATCGGCGGGTTTGGCTGCGTTGAGCTGCCTGGACCCTCTCGATGGCGGTTGGCGGCGTCTCGTGGGCGGCAGGTCGAGTGCTTCTCTGGGCTGTACGGGTGGCCTCTGGGGAGGCGAACTGGTCGTCGTCGTCGGATGGCCTGATGGACGGCAGGTCCAT